CCCTCAATTTCTAAAATAAAATCCATAATTTCTAAAATAATTGCCTATATTTCTAAAACAAAAGGTCCTTGCAAAAAAAAAGTAGAGAAGGACATGAGCCCCTAGCCTCCCCAGCGTTGACGGCCATGTATGCTTCGCTTGAATATACCAACATTTCCTAAGGTATAAACGTCTGCCAAAAAAAAAAAGCTTAAAAAAAAGTGAAAAACCTGGTCAAAGGACTACCAGTTAGTAAAACAAAACAAAAAAAAAAGGAGATCTTGTAAAATACTTTGTATTGACCTCCTTAAATATATTTACTTTTAAAATGAAGTGAAAACTATTTAAACCCTATTTTTTACATTGTATTACCATCAAATATCTAATTACATTTTAAGAAATGTTTTTTTGATTTTCTCTACCAAAAGATTATTAATAAACAGCTCTATGTACTCTTTTAATACAAATACTCTTTAATACTACTTTTAAAGATGGTGAAAATATTTATTATACGCCCTAAAATATGAATTTCAGCAGCCTAATTTCTAATAACTCAAATGATGTTCTTTAAAGATGCTTACTGCTTAGATCAACTATGTAGCGCAACAATCTTTCTTTGTACTCTGGATGATTATTATTTTGCTTATACCTCGAACAATGTTGATAAAAATCTTGATGAGAAGTTTCGACAGTTTGTTCACTATAGAGCCCCAAGCAGTGCCAGCCTTAGGAGGGGGGGGGGCGAGGTTGGGCGCCGCCCAAGGGCGCCAGGAAACTGGGGCGCCAAACGTTGTATGCAAACTTTATCAATATAATAAATAGAAAAAATAAGTCAACCTAAATTTTTTCGATTTCGATTTTCGATTTTTTGTTATTTTTTCGAATGTTTGTTTTTTTTATAAAAATAATTTCTTTAAATAATTTCTTTATTGTATTATTACACTGTTAAAAATTCTTTATGCAAAACTAATAATTTGATTAAAAGTGTTTTAATCGTAGCTTATATTTTGTTACTTAAATTCATTTCTTTACTTGTATCTTTATCGGCGCCAATTATTTTGCGTTTCATTCATTTAAAGTTTAAATTTTAAACATTATTTTCGGTACGAGTTGCGAGTAGGGTTGTTAACCGGAGGATTTCGTGCAATTCCGGAAAAACAACATTCTTTCGTAAGGAGATTGAGAACTAGGAATTACATTTTTTCGTACCGAATGTTACAAAACATTTAAAATCGCCGATGTTCATTTCGCAAAAGACACTTCCGAAATTTAGCAGACATACGAAACAAAACTATTTTGCAACATACGAAAGTAGCGGTTTCAGAAGTCGCACTTGCGAAACAAACATTTTCGCCAAACGACGTTTTGAAGTCTATAAAGAAAATTTGTTTGCCAGACTGATTTTAATTGTAAAAATTAACATCATTAAATCCCAAAATGTTTATAATGAATTTTTATTTTCAGTATAATAACATATTAAATTTTTATGGTTTTATTTTTAGAAATATTGATAAAAAATAAAATTTCTTTCGAAACGAAAGTATTTCGGATCACAACATACGAAAGAATTCTTAACGGAAATAAACTTACGAAACATGCCATAATAAATATATATAACGATGTTTTTTGAATTCATTACGTATATTAAAAATAAGAATGATAGGTAGAAATATACATGTTTTTTTTTTTTTAAAGCATATGAAATTTTTGAAACAGGTTCGAATATGCTTAAGCAAATAGTAAAAAGAGGCTCAAAAATATGCTTTAGCTTAAGCATATTTCTGATAAAATAAACCTATTTCAATAATTTCTAAAAGTGTGCACGTTACTAAAGTTCTAGCAGATTTTAAAGGTATGTAGAGTCCTGTTTGAATACGCTTTTCGAAGTATAGATCTTAGAAAATATTGTTTTTTAATTTTAATAAGATATAAATTTAAGTATAAGATCGTATAGTTCAATCAGTTAGATACGTGATAATTTGCCGCAGAGATCCGGGTTCGCATCCCGCAGCCATTGTAACTTTTGTTCATCAAACTCTTTTTATTTAAGATAGCATTTTTTGACCTCCTTGTTCTATATTACAGATCTTTCGTCACCTTCATAATAGTGACAACCTCTCTTCTGTTAGTTATTCTTTTAAGATTGAGTTCATTGTGCTTAATTCTACACGTTTCCCTTGCTTTAATAAGTTCTACTTAAATTATGATGAAATGTACGTAAAACAACTTTTTCAAATAATATAAATCATTTTGCTTTAAATCTTGTGTTTTTGTACTAGACATCTGTCCTAAACACTTTGTAATAATTTCTAGCTAACTCTGAGTCTAATATAATCATTTCTGAATATAATTTCCCTGAGGCTCCTACAGCCTATTGTGTTCCATTAAAAGTATCTAGTTTTCGAGTCCAGATATTAATTATAAGCAACTAAAGGTTCACATTACTGTTCATTTTCCTGATATATAGAATCCTATTTGCATACGTATCATTTTCTGTAAATTCTGTTTTATATAGTTTCTTAATTATATAATAAATAAATAATACTATTCACTTAGTTGAATGAACGTATAGCTCATTCAGTTAAGACATTTGGCCGCGGAGACTCAGGTTCACATCCCGCTGTTTCACATATATTTCTTCTCTTTTTACTCTTTCTGATATCATTTACCTTTAGAGAGATCTCTCGTTCTTTATAATAAAGTATTAAATTGTTTATCACACATCCTCTTTATACCTTTTAAAAAGAAAGGCATATTGTTTATCTGTTCATTGAGAGTCCAACTTAACGGGATTTTACTGTATATATATGTATATATTTATATATATATATATATATATATATATATATATATATATATATATATATATATATATATATATATATATATATATGTATATATATATATATATATATATATATATATATATATATATATATATATATATATATATATATATATATATATATATATATATATATATATATATATATATATATATATATATTAGGTATATTTGTATAAACATTTGAAGAATCATTTGACAACATTTTTTTATAATTTTATAATTTATTATTTAAACTGTTAACAGTTAATATCTTAAATATATCGTAACATAAAATCTTTTGCGTCTTTTTCGTAACTGCACATTCCGGAATGCATTTTCCGTAAGGAACTATTTCGTAAGTATTCTTACGAAATGATTTGTTTTGCAAGTTTTCTTTCGCAATGCTTTATTACGGAATTTTATTTATTTATATTTTCGTATTGCGCGTTACGGAATGTGCATTTTTGCATGTGCAACTTCCGCAATAACAGTTCTATTACGGTAGATAAAGATGCGAAATTTTCGCAAGTTTTGTTTTTCGGCGAACAACCCTAGTTGCAAGCGCGTTGTTTATTAATTTGTAGAAGAAATTTAAAGTTGTATTTGTGATTCAAATTCAGTTTTTGTCAAGTTTTCAAATTTTGCGGTAATAAAAAGCAGGTAAGTATAAATAATGAAATTGTTTATGAATTATTAGCTTGTAATTTAATTAGTAATTTAGTAATTTTTTATTTTGAAATTTTAGACAAATAGAAACTGTCAGCAACAATCAATAGAGAGTACTCATAATAAAGAAAAAAATGTTTTTAAAACTCATAATAATAAGAAGCCATCTGGTGCTCAATACAGAAAACGTAAAGCAGAAAAAGTTGATAATTTGAAAAAAAATTATAAAAACTTGAAAATATTTTTACATCGGAAAATAGTGATTGTAATAAAATAAAGGAAGGAGAAAATGTTGCGCATCTACTTAGTGATACATCAACCAGAGATTTTGGACTGAATATAAGCTTTTGTCGAGGGCAAGGTTACGATAACGGTGCAAATATGAAAGGTAAAAAAATAGGTCTACAAAAGCGAATATTAAATTTGAATCCTTTGGCTTTTTACCTTCCATGTGGAAGTCATTCTCTCAATTTGGTTATTTGTGACGCAGCGCAGTCTTCACTAAATTCCATTAACGTTTTTGGCATAATACATAGATTATTCACATTATTTTCTGCATCAACTTCACGCTGGAATGTTTTACTTAGTCATACAACAAACTTCACTCTTAAACGATTATGCGAGACTCGTTGGGAAGCCAAAATTGAGAGCCTCAAAGCCATCCGATACCAAATAAGCAGCGTACATATTTAAGAAATACCATGTTGCAAGATCGACTTAATTCTCTATCTATGTTATCAATCGAGCTAGATATAGCTGAAAATTTAGATTTTTTTAGTTTGATAAGAGATTTCGCGGACAAAAAAGCTAGAAAAGTTAGATTTTAAAATTTAATAACTCTTGTTTATATAGTTAGAGGATTTATTATATGTTTAATAAAAACATTTGTTATTTTAAAAGCAGCGTTGCGTTGTCTATTTATTTAGTCACTCATTTCTATAAACCCATATCATGAAAAGTCTAAATTTATAATTTTAATAAGAAATTATTTAAATAAGAAACTTGATGCACAATGGATCTCTTTGCATTAAACTATATATTCCCTTTAGCACTCTTGTTCATCATTTTAGAGCATTGGTCTCGTTGTTAATGGTAACAACCCACCCATATATACCTAGGGGCGCGTTCACAAGTTTTGCCCAACCTGTCAAAAAAGCTAAGGCCGGCGCTGGCCCCAAGTGGAATCCTTAGTGACTGATGATATCCTTGATGTGGTAGAAGACGGCGTGAATTTTGGGTGTTAACTATTCTTTAACTTAATCAAAAACTTAACTTAAATAAAAAATGTTAAATAAAACCTTTGAAAAAATAAGTTATTTTTAATTAAAATTGCAGACTTTTTTATACTTTTATTGATAATAAATGACATAAATAAACGTTGTTTTCAGCGTTGTCTTTAGCACACAAATCCAATTAATGATGCGCAAATTTTTTATTGAATTGAGTAGTACAACAAAAAGTATTACGTATTTCTACACGTCATCGTCTTAAACATTATCTAAAGTTCATCGTCTTAAACATTATCTAAAGTTCAAGCTTTCAAATAACAACTAAAAGTTAATTTTTAAGCGTTTTACAACTTCTTTACAGCTATTCGCAAACAAACAAAAAACATTTCATTTGTAACATATGATCGATTAAAGAGTTTTTCTACAAATAAGGTTTGCACCAGTCTTCTCTGATCTAGCATTAAGGGTTTAATTTTTATAAATGAACGTTGCATATCATTAAATGGTTCCTTTTAGCCTAAAGTTAAGGTTTTAATTGCTATAATTATTGAAGCATTAAATCGTTAACAAGTAAATAATTGCAAATACATTGCATTTTCTAAACATTCGTCTTTAATTGCATCCGTTGACGCCACTACGTTTTGTAAGCTTTCTTCATAAATTGCATCCATTTTACAGGACAAGAGAAAAAAAAAAATAACAACAGCATGGAGATTCTAGAAACTAAGGTAAAATATTTTGTGTCAGTGATTTATTTGTATGCATTGATTTTTTTATATTTGCATGAATAATTTTTTGTTTGTTCTATGTTTTTTAAGGTCTCGATACTGCGTGCATAATTATAGTTACTATGCATGTATTTATATAATTGAAACATTCTAAAAAAGATATTTTAAGTGAAGAAAAAAAAAAAAGTAAAATGTGAAAAAAATTTAACGTGTTTTTGCGATATTTCCAAAAAGAAAACTTGATGTTGGAATTTACACGGTAACCAAAACAATGATTAATAGATTTTATTTTATTTTTAGTTTTTACTTATAATTTTCTTTTTGAAATAATTCAAAAATCAAAAATGTATACAAGAAAAAGTATAACTTAATTTAGCAAACAATATGTAATTTTAAAAAAATTTTAAAATTTGAATAAAAGCGATTCGTTCCTTAAGCGTTATTGACAATCAAAATAAAATTATTTATGTTAAGAAATAAATTACGAAATAGTAAAACTAAAATAATTTATTTAGTTTAATTCTTAATAATGAAATAATATAAATATTTTGCAATCAGGTAAAACCTAAAAGAGATTTTTTGTTTAAAAATGTTTATTTATATCTAATATATATTTTGAATGTTTCCATTTTTTCATATATATTTTTAATGTTTTCCAAATTTCTTCATTAGTGTAATGTTAGATAATTTTCTCTGTAATTATTATAGAAAAACGATTCAATTCAACCAACCTCACAACTTTTGATTCAACCCACTTCGCAATTATTAAGCAACTATTTAGCCAATTTCTTAATTAATGAGATCAATTTTGATAAAACCTCAAATGAAATTGACTTAACAGAAACTACAAGTTGTAAAAATTGTAATCTTAACAGCTCTTTTTGGGATTTCTCAAACAACCATGGTCCAAACAACCATAGTCATGGTCCCGAACAATGGCAGAAAAAATGGAATTTAACAACAAGACAATCTCCAATTGATATTGTTTTACAAAATGTAGAACACGACAAAAATTTAAAAACTTTAAGTTTGGATTTTCAAAAAATTTTAATTGATGTGACCAACATTGGATGGAATGTATCTTTTAAGGCTTATAACAATAGAAAAATTTCATTGAGCGGAGGGGCGTTGACTTATAATTATGCTTTTCGCGAAATGCATTTTCACTGGGGAGAAGTTTACAAAGGTAAGTGCGAACTTGGTTGCGAACATACTATTGACGGCAAAAGATACGCTGCAGAATTTCATGCAGTTCATTGGAACACAGATTTATACACAACAGAATCTGATGCTATTGCAAACCCTGATGGTTTAGCTGTCATTGGTGTACTCATAGATGCAAGTGAATCGTACGATGAGAACGAAGAATTCAAAGTGTTTCTTGAGATGTTTGAAAAAGTTCCGTATATGAACAATAATGCTTCGTTTATAGTAGATCCGTATCTTTTGTTTCCTAAAAATACAAATCATTATTTTACTTATCCTGGATCTTTGACAATGCCACCTCTTACAGAAAACGTCACGTGGACACTTTTTACAGAACCAATAAAAATCTCTATCGATCAACTGGAGAAGATGAGCAAAAATTATCCTCAAGAATATTCTGATTCAGAATGTTTTTTTAAGTTTCAACGTCGATCTGAATCTACAACTATAACCAATAATTATCGATCAACACAACCCTTAAAAGATCGAGTGGTCAAATCTTCATTTGCAACATAAGCAACAAAGTGGGACATCTTTATATCATTTTTTCAACGTGATTTTTTTTTTGTAACGTTTATATATGTTTATTAATTATAAAAATGCTAATAACTAATTTTTTTCTTTCACAAATTGTTTATTTATCGTTTAATAATTTAAATCTGGTATTGTAATGTAAACTAAATTTTGTAACGTAAACTAAATATTGTAACGTGGTGAAATCAAGCAATTTGTTTAGTAAATAAGTAACTACTAACTTTATCAGTTTTTAAATACAAAGCTAAATTGAACTTACTCCGTAAAAAATGAAAAAGTCAAAATGAATTTAATATCATAATATTCATAATGGTTCAATGCTACCTTAATTTGTTAACAATGCTACCTTAATTAACTAACCAATGCTACCTGTACTTTTGAGTGCGCGCGCGGCGTTATTTATTTACTTTTTCTATAGAGTATCTTGCAGGACTATACTTCATGTACTTATATTGATAAAACCCTAAAAAGATTTTTCTAGAATTAATGTTTTTATAATTATCTTTTAAATTTTTTAAATAACATGTTTCAACATGCTTGCATTTGCTTTTACACACAATATATATATATATATATATATATATATATATATATATATATATATATATATATATATATATATATATATATATATATATATATATATATATATATATATACACGAGGAGCTAACAATCAAAATATAGTTTATCACAAAAAAATAAAAAAGTCATATAAAATATATTTATATATTTTTTTCCTATCCTATGCATACATTGTAGACGAAAAAAAAAAATCATGTTTCGCAAAAGTATTTTTATAGGTTTGGGTTGAGTTCTAGGCCTTTTTTCAGCTACTTTTAGTTTTGAGCAAAAAATATACATATAGCAAAACAGTTTATTTTTTGAAAAAAACTTATACATCATTTTTAGTAAACTACATCAAAAAAAGTTTATAAGTTTTAAAGTGGTCGAAGGTTCTCCTTCGACCACTTTAAAACTTATAAACTTTAAAACGGGGTAATATGGGTCTAAGGAATTAATAATTTAAATTATTAATTCCTTAGACCCATATTACCCCGTTTAGTGAGGTAATGTGAGTCTTAGTTATATTTTTTTTTCCCAATGAATTATAACAACTTATAGTAAAATATGACCTAAGTCATTGAGTATGTATTATATTTAAATTTTTTGATCAAAGGTTTAAACATAATAGTACTTTAATAGATGTTTTAAACGCAAAGAAGAAAATTCTTAATGATTTTAAATCTTTTGTTAAACTTAAAAAAAATCTTATTATTGTGAGAAGCGTCTCTCAATTGGATCACTTTGTAAACGAGCTGTCATCACATAATCATACCCATCATTTAGGAGCTCCTCAACAAGCAATGCTTGAGCACGTAAGGTGTTTATAAGTGCTGATGCAGTTTGAGTTGTGAGTATGAATGCAGGTGAGCGAGACCACTGATCAATCCAATCAGCCAGAGCTTGGTAAAATATAATTTTCTTGTCTCCTAATACATTAACATTGCCATAGTGTTTGGTAAAAACCTTTGTTTAAAATTAGCTATTGTCCACCAAGTGTTAAAAATAGTTAAAAAAATTTGAAACAACTTTACGATTTGGATAATAGCTTTTTGAAGCACCAGTTGTAGTTTCATGTAAAATTGCTAACGCAAGTGGCACACTTTGTTTATTATTTCTAGGATGAAATACCTCATATGTAAACATTGGAGCTTTTCTAAGTTTACCTTTCACAACATTTTCAGTATGGCAAATCTTAAATAAATTTTCCCAACTAATATATCCTGATAGACAATCAATATGGATGTTCACATTATGATATTTAAATTCTGAAAAATAAATTTTTTACCATTTAATAAATTGTTTAGAGCATTACAAATTAAATATGAAAATTTTTGGCAAAATGTTTTATGTGACCAAACAATGAATTCAATTTGCTGGAAAAATGAATGCTTTTCTTGTATGAATTTATTAAAATTCAGTAGTCCTGATCCTAAATAGCTATCTTTCACCAAGATTTGGAAAGAATGGGATAAAGATGAAGGATGTCGATTGCAGCTAATCTTACGAGAGTCAAGTACAGGTGAACTTTTTGATCGACTCAAAGTAGATTACCCGCAATTTTTGAATACGTCAATCTAATAAGAATCCAAATTGCAGCATTTGAAAAGGACAAAGGTTCAACTAGCGTAAAAGTTTTACAAGTGAACTTTGTCATGTCATTTGCAACAGAGTACCAGAATGAGATTCAATCTGCATTGTGGTCAAGAACTGGCGTTCTTTTATTTACAGCGGCGGTTTTTTATAAAGAAATTTGCAAAACCTATTTGATTTGTTCTAATAGTCACAATAAAGACAAGGATACAGTTTTTGTATTTATCAAACATTTATATTCTCTAATTAAAGATCAAAATTCTGATGAGCACGTCCAAAATGTCATCTGGAGCGACGGTCCCTCATCAGAATTTAAAAACAAATACATGGTTAAGTTCCTTAGTTATTTGAGTACAGCATACAATCAGCAGTTTACTCGGAAATATACGTCAACTTCTCATGGGAAAGGTGTGATTGATGGTGTGGGAGGACTTTGTCAAAAGACTTGTAAAACAAAAAAATCTCAATCAGATGTTCAATCAGCTAAGGATTTTGCTGAATTAGCGTCACAACTAGTAACTTCTACTAAAATTGTTTACATTTCTGAAGAAGATATTAAATCGCAGGTTGACCCTTTCAGACCATGGCAAGGTGTCATTCCAATTACTGGCATATCAAACTTTCATATAATATCATGTGATTTGAAGACGAGCTAAAAATTACGATTTAGATGGCGAAGATCAAGTGTTCTTTTGCAAATAACTACTTTTAATTCTTATTTAAAAAACTTTTTTTTTTAATTCTCAATTAAAAAAAAAAGTTGTACTTTTTTAACAATTAGCTGAACTTTTCAAATGCATTTACTTAATTGAAAATGTGGTATTTTATTTGTCCTACACGTAATGCGAACAAAATGTTACAAAAATCAAGTCATTTTGAAAAGTCAAAGATAGATTTTACTGTATATTTAAGCAACATTAAAAATTTTTTTTAACTATAATTTTTTTTGAAAAATCATTATTTGGTTCCTTGTATAATTTGATATTTCATTTCCAAACAGTGTACAAATGTCCTTCACGTAATCATATAATGCTCCATATCCAGAGTTGTTAACAAGGCCAAAAGTAGCAAGGCCTAGGCCAGGGTTAAGGCCACCAATATAAGGTCAAGGCCAAGACCAAAGCCAAAAGTTAATCGGCCAAGGACAAAGCCAAGGACAAGGCCAAGAGTTTTAAGCTTAAGGTCAAGATTAAGAGTTTCAAGGCCAAGGCCTACGCAAACCTTTTCAAGACCAAACACTTCAATTTTGCCTCACGTTAAGACCAATTATTAACAAAACTGTAAGTAGCAAGTACTATTACAATAAAACCACATTTTGTAAAAATAAAACCAATTTTATGCGCAGAATTCAACGAAATCAATAAAAAAATATCTATATTTTTTTAAAGCCAAAGCCAAAACAATCAAGGCCAAGGCCAAAATTTTCAAGGCCAAGGCCAACAGTTTCAAGGCCAATACCAACGCCAAGGCTTCAATTTTTGGCTTTAAGGCCATGGCCAAGGACTAACAACTTTGAATAAATCTAAAATTTATCTTTATACAGATAAAAAAAATGTTAGTCAACGATTCAAAAAGAAATTTAACCGCTGAGTGTCTGTTGATTAGATTCTAAGCGGTTAAACTACCCTAAAATAAGAGAAACCAACTGTTAAAAAAATTAAAACTTCGCGGGCATCTTTGAATGTTTCTTCAAGTTTTTTTTATAATTTTAAAAACTTTGACTGCTCTTTTTTAACAGTACACACACAGATATATATATATATATATATATATATATATATATATATATATATATATATATATATATATATATATATATATATACATATATATATATTTATATATATATATATATATATTTATATTTATATATATATATATATATATATATATATATATATATATATATATATATATATATATATATATATATATATATATATATATATATATATACACTGTCTTCCAAAACATTAGCCACCAAATAAAATAAAAAACATTTCCTACTTAGATTATTTATTAAAGAAATTTTGTTTTTTTAATTATTTTTTAATAAAAAAAAAAATGATTAATGTTACATATAAGAATATATAATTTTAACATAATAAGACTACTTGAAAATAAATAAACGTGATTTTTTGTTTGTATTGGTATTTTAACGCAAAAACGTGGTCCTCCAAAACATTAGCAACTTTTTTAAAACTGCCCTAAAAAATGTAAATATATATAGTTAATGGCATATCCTTTACTTTTTAGGATCAAGGAACATCTTATCGGCATAGACTCTACGAGTTTATTAATATTTTCTTGTGCAATATCATTTCTAGTGGCTTCAATAGCTTTATATAGCTCATCGGCGTATTTGAAGGGTCCTTTGTGTTTTAGGGTGAATTCAACTTGGTGCCATAAATTTTCAATCGGGTTAAGATCAGGTGATTGAGCTGGCTATTTCATTACTTTAATTTGATTTGTTTCAAACCATTCTTTAACGAGTTTAGAGGTTTGTTTTGGGTCGTTGTCTTGTTAAAATTTCCATAAAAGAGGCATACTTTTATCAGTATGAGGAACCATTTTTTTCTTGGAAATATCACAATAAACATACTGATCCATAATGCTATTTATTAGGTAAATAGGTCCAACTCCACTAAAACCAGAAAAGCAACCCCAAACTATTGCACTTTTTCCACCACCATGCTTGATTGTTCCTCTTGTGTATTTAGGATCTAAGCGTTTACCTTTAGGTCTACGTACCTTTAAATTTCCATCAGGAACTTTCAAATTGTACTTTGATTCATCGCTCCAGAGTACTCTATTCCAATCATTTATGGTCCAGTCTCTATGAGAATTTGCAAAATCAATTCTAGCTTTTCTATTCTTCTGAGAAATGAAAGATTTTTTAGCTGCTCTAAAGCTCAAAATTCCTGAAAGTTGTAACCGTCTGAAAGTTGTAACCGTCTGAAAGTTGTAACCGTCTGAAAGTTGTAACCGTCTGAAAGTTGTAACCGTCTGAAAGTTGTAACCGTCTGAAAGTTGTAATCGTCTGAAAGTTGTAATCGTCTACAAACTGTATTTTGAGACACGGAAAGTATCAGTTTTTTAATAGTATCATTAACGCTGTCAAAAGGATTTTTTTTTAACATGACGAATAATTTTTCTATCGATGAAACAACATGTGAAACACATTATATTCTGTATTTAAAGAACTACCTTTATTAAATCGTTTGATTATTTGACATACAATTGACTTGTTAATGGAGTATTTCGTTGCGATTTCCTTTTGTTTGACTCCTTTCTTGTAATCTTTTACAATACGTTCTCGAAAAGCTAAATTATACATGTTTCCTGCCATTATAATCCAAAACAGCATATATACGCAATCTTAAATTAATATTGTAACAATTGCAACACTCCATATTCATCTCTGGACAAAAATTAACAATTATATATATATATATATATATATATATATATATATATATATATATATATATATATATATATATATATATATATAATATATATATAACGACTTTGCACTCCATCAGTGAGATGCCATGATGCCTAAGTTTAGCCCTTCATTTCTGGATTCATTCCATTATTTGATAGGTAGTTCATGTAAAAGTAATAGTAACTTAGCCTATAGTTAGCTCTCCATTTCTGGATTCTTTACTTTATTTGATAGGCAGTTCATGTAAAAGTATTAGTAATTTTGCATAAAGCTTTTCTTTTTTTTTTGTTATTTTAATTATAAAATTTATAATAATGTGCAGTTAAGCTTAGAGATAAAAATATTGATATATAATATAAAAATATCTTTAAATTAAACAAAATTGATACATATAAATATATCAGATTTGATTCATATCATTTATAAAGATAAAAACCACTGTACTCAAATGCAGTAAAAACAAATAATTGTAACATGATAACAAAAGAAATAAGATAAATACATACTACAATACAATTCAAAATTTTTATTAAATAAAATTTCCTCACAATCCTAGCTAAAAAGAATAAGATCACCTTTTTCAAAATCATTTAATATAGGAAATAACTATACTTCATCAGGTTCGTTATCATACTTAACAAGGCATGTGGTTTGTTTAACGTTTAATTGATCATTTTGTACAACTTGCACATGTTCTCTTCAAGAAGAAATTCTTCTTCTCTAACACAATGTTGTATAGAAAAACCTTCATAATCAGATGGATTGTTAATAAATTTTAATAAGGATTGTTTTTTTTTGTTGCACTGTTAATTTGTTTAGTCTTGCATCCTGACTTTTTTCCATTATTCTTTTTTTTTTTGATTTCAACAGCTGCATCACGTATTAAACTATTACTTATATCAATTAAAGATTGTTTGTTTGATTGTTTGTTTGTTTGATTGTTTGTTTGTTTAAATTTGCTTGAATGACAATAAGAAGATTTTGATATAATTCCTCCGAAGACAAGTTGATTCTTTTGCTTCCTTTTACATTTGTTTTACAAAAATTTTTTGTCCCATTCGACACTTAAGTTTATGTGATAAAAATTTAGTTGAGAAAGAAGCACTTATGGCCTCTAATGGCTCTTCTATATTGCATACCTGCAATATTGCATATCTTCAAAATCTGTTAGATGTGTAAAACAATTCATTTTTAAATCCAACATAGATCCCATTTTTAAGTCCATTATAGATTCTATTTTCCATTTTATTTACTTTTCAAAGCATTTTTCTTTCGCTTACTAGTATTGTTTCTTTAGGAATTTCAGATGCATTCACTGTATTATAAGGAAATTTGCCACAGGTGGAAAAAAGGCAACCCCTAACAACTTTTACTTATAATTTTTCGTTGTTTCTTTAATTTTATGATGGTATCAACTAATCTATTTATCTTTTTGGCTAAGGCTTTCTTACAGCAAAACAATTTAACATTGAAATCCACGTAACATTTATAATTTTTTAAAAAAAAAATTTTCTGTTGCTATACTACATATTGATTTTTTATGTTTTATTTTGAGCTTCACTTCTGAAAAATGTAAAGTATCAAATTTATGATATATTTAGTGATTATATATTCTCGGTATATATTTATTTTATATAGTATATAGATGTTTTTATTGTAGAAGAAAATAGAGTGTTGTTAAGGGCTTCGTGATAAGGTCATTACGATCTTTTTGAAGTCCTGATCGAATCATTAATATGGTTTGTACACAAAGCCTAATATCTGAAATGAAGGCTATAATTTTTTATTTTGCTATATGACACAAAAAACGTCCAAATTATCTTGTGCTAAAATTAAATCAATTTTGTCAAAATTATTTATGCGGGGTAATGATGCACGTTTTAGTTGATCTTATAAATTTGCAACAGGATTACATTTTATCTAACGTGTTTTTATTTCTTCATGTCTGGAAATCGATAAACTGACATTTTTGAGTCGTTTGAATTTTTTTTTTTTTTCCTAACTTTTTTTTTTCTAAGATAAGTTTTTCTTAGAACAACCATAGATTTTTTTTTCACCATTTTTATAGCAGGCTTAGTAAAGGAAAACCTTAAACGAATCTAGTAAGCTTTTTTGAGATCTTCAGTGTTCATTTTATAAAATATATAAGAAGTTAATATCGGCCCCTACATTTTATTCTAAATTTACGTGTCACGGCCAGTTACTAAACATGACTGAAATTTAAAATAGGTCTTGGGTATTTTTTTTCTTCTTTTTCAAATGCAACATTTAAAATTTCATTTTGGAAAGTAGTAACTTTACAATAGTATTATTACATTATCACTCCTTAGCTCCACCCTAGACATTCTACTCCTAAGCTCTACCCCCTCTGGCCTACAAAAGCTTATTAATATATCTAATATGTACACACAAAAACTGCATAAAAATGAATGCTGACAAAACCGAGTTCCTGCTCACCGGAAAAAAGCAAATTAAAAACTGTTCAATAACTATCAACCACCAACAAATAAAATTTTATGATACACTTAGTCATCTAGGCTTTACATGGGATACAAAAGGCTCACCTTTTGCCTCACTTAATAACTCAAACATTGATCACCGAATATCTAGTTTCCGGACGGTAATCCAAACCTTAATTCAATCAGGAATCCGTTTTGCTCACCCAAACTCCATTGCCCAGTTATATAAAACTTAGCCTGTTCCAACACTAACGTATGGTCTGGAACTGCGTGAACATAAAAAAATGTTAATGCAAAAGCTTGATATAGTTGGAAGAAACGCACTTAAGTCACTCCGCAACGTTTCAAAACATAGCAAAAATTGTATTCATACCTTATTTTTTAATGAAGATATATCAATTATTATACAACAAAACAAGCTAAACTTATTTATTCGCCTGATGAACAATAAAATGACATATGATATTATAAAGTCGCAACTCAAAGACTTATACAATAATCATGAACTAAATCTGGAGACAATAATGCAAAGTAAAAAAAAAAAAAATCATCGGGCTCAAAAATTTAATTCCTGATACGGATATTAAAACTCTAAAATATGCAGTTGAGAACTATCTTCAAGGACATTCTTGAGAAAAATATTTCCTAGATGATCACATTACAAAAAAAAAAAAAAAAAAAAAAAAGAAATTTCAAGATTTTTTACATTTATCTTATATGAAACTCTTAGTTTATCTTACTTGTATAGTGGGTGTTAAATAAAATCTAAATAAATTATATTAAATAAAATAAATAAAAAGATATAGAACAAAAATTCTTTAAATATTTCATCAACCGTAATAAATGGCGGGGCAAAAATAAACTTTTCCAATTAATTACACGACTATATTTTCCAATATATAGTTTGTGTCATTGTTGTTTACATCATATATAGAGTTGCTTGGAACAATCGAACCACGACACGTTAACACTTTGAGTCCTGTCTTCAATGGTATTTTTTTACCGTTCATTAAACAAATTAATTGTGTTTTCGAGGCATGGCTTAGTTCTATAAAGCATTTGTTATCTTTGTTCACATTAAAAATTAAGCTATTGTCGCGGTACTTTACTCCATAAATTAATAATGACGTCGATTCGGGTAGTAAACTTAAATTAAAATCTAGACTAAAATTATGCACTCTTATTCCACCAAAACCAAATATGATTGTCTGAAGAAATCCTCCCGCTCCTGTCAAGAAATTTTTGGCTCCATCGCCATTTCGAATTTCAGTCCATACTTTAAAAGGTTCTTGAATGTGTTCAAAATTTTTTTTGAAAGCTTTTTCTGCTGCAACTCTATTGCCAACCTCCAACCATCCAATCGTAAACATAGATTGCGTCATGGCTGGTCCATTTAAGTCTGTTATATTCTCATACAAAAGTAAATCGTTTTTTTTGACGTCTCTATCCATTGGAAACATTAGTGGAAAGTTAATCAAAATAACGTCGGCTTGTTTTACCACACTTAATGGGTTTTTAATGTCGAACCCATCGAATTCAGGGTGAAATTTTAAAGTTTTGTCAAACGGTATATACATTTTTGTGGCCACATTTTCCCAGTCAAAAGATGTTTTAATTTTAAATATTTTACCTAACTCAACAGCAAATTCCAAGCACATTTTTGCAATCACGTTTGTGTACACAGAATTTTTTACAGGATATTGATATTCGTCCGGAGGCATTACGTCATTAATTACGTACAAATTTAAGGAATTATTATAAGAAACCCGAGAAATCCAAAATTCAGCTGCACTAAAGACAACTTGTATTCCATGATGAAATACCCAATCAAAATCACCTGTAGCATACAAGTACTGGCGAATTGAAAAAACAATATCTCCTGTGATATGTATTTCATTTCTTCCGTAACGTTCTTCAGGACAGACTTCAAAACCGCTAACTGCACTTTCCCAAGGAAACATTGCTCCTAAAATATATAAGTATTTACTTTATAAAAACATACTTAAGTTGCAAAACTTTATAAGTTTATATGTTTTTTTTAAAACTGAAACAAAGGTTTTTTATTTGACTTAATAATAATCAGATCTGTATAAATTCAGGTTGACACCTGTATTGTTTTAAATAAAATTGTTAATCAACAAATTTAAGACTAATCAATGCATCAAAGTGTTTTAATTTATCGGTGGATAAATTTTAACACTTTAACTCATTAATAAAAATACATCTTTGTTTTATACTTTTTAAATAAAGGTCGTCCATAAACTACGTTACACTCTAGGGGGTTAGAAGAGGTCTTAGTCGTTTTGTGACGACTCGCACAAAAGTTGTTTCCAAAGAGTTAAGATGTTGTGACGAGGTGGGAAAGAGGGGTCAGAAATGTTTGAAAATTGCGTGACATAATTTATGGACGACCCCTAAGGTATAATATATACTTTTAAGTTTTAATTTTATTTTATAAAGTAAGAGATATGTTATAATACATATATAAGAAAAGTAAAGAAGACTCAGCACTTTGGTATAGCTCCAAAAAATACTTTGTCGGAGGTTCCAAAATTAACAAGCGACAGATATCTACCATAAACTCAAACATACAAACGTATGTTTGAGTTTATGGTAGATATCTGTTTCCTTTTGTTAGCACTTATTACTACCAAAAGTTATTTTTGGTATGCTAAAAGAGTTATTTTTTTCTTTACCAGCTACTTTTATAGGCTTTGCACACTTTTCGTCATCTTCGTTTTTTTGTCGTTCACAGTCTTTGATTTCAAATTTAGATAAAGCTTCCGTTTTCTTTAAGATGATTTTATGAGGTTGTTTGTGATCCATAAATTTTTATAAATAGATTTGTTTATATATATTTTTATTACTTTTAAAAATTTTTTGAAATCGGGCTTATGATAATTTCATAAAACTATCATATGCCCGATTTGAATTCATAGGCAAGTTTTCGTATTCTTTACACTACTCAAAAAGTTTATTTTTTAAATTATCAAGATTTTTTTACCTTTTAGTGACCCAGCATTTTTTCGTATCACTCGTATCAAAATAGGGAAATGATTTTGAGAAACCACCAATAAAAATACCTGATTCAAAATTTGGGTTAAAAGAGTTGGTTGTTAAATTATTTTTAATAGCAGAAAAGATTTTTTGTATAACTTGCGAAAGTTTAAAAATGATAGGTGTTATGTTAAATTCTAATGTGAATCGTAAAAACATTTTATGTTGGAAAATTTTAACTTAAAGCATTCATGTTTATATCGCCAGCAAAAAAGATATGTTTACACTGTGTACTCATTCGTGATGTAATTTTTTTGAAGCTCTTAATGATGTTTTGTATTATTAGGTATAATATATACTTTTTATATTAGGTATAATATATACTTTTTAGTTTTATTTTCATTTTATTACAAATAACAGTATTTGAGTGTAATAATTTTCACAAAAATCTAATTGTTATTCCAATAAATAAAAAAAGAATAAAATCGATAAATTAAATTGTGTACCTTTAAAGTTATACTTTTTTGCAATATCTATAGCAGCGTTTAGTCGTTTATATCGGTATTCTAAAAATGATTTTGCAAGTTCAGGATAAAACATTAGAAATGCCGGCGCCATCCAAATATCTTGATCCCAAAACACGTGACCTAAATACTCTTTACTAGGCGCAATACCTCCTGGGCTTATTCCATATTCCCAATCACTGCGCACAGAAGAAAGTAAACTAGATAATGCAGAATTAACAGTTTGAGATAAAAACAGGTTTCCTGTAATTTCAATATGAAAACTTTCAAAAGTTTGAGCCCATTTTTTTTGGTGAGTACGAAATAAATCTTTACCCATATTTTGCGCTTTTTTCCAGTACATCATGGCATCTGGTAATAATTTTAATGATTCCAAACTTGTCACTATTGAGGTAATAAATTTAAATTCTTTCACACTATTTTTTATTATTTTTACAGACTTTGGAACTTTTGAAAAAATAACAGCAACCTTTGTCTTAGTACCGTTTTTAATTTCAGCTTCTTTTATTTGACCAATTTTTGCTTTGAATGCTGATGCTTTTTTCACTTTTACATTTTTGAATACAATATCTTCGCTTTCTTTTCCTTCATTTTTTTCAAAATAGAGAACTAAATTACGGTTAGCTTTTATAATAATTTCGTTTACTATAACATTTTTTAACTCGCTGTGCGCGTAAATGCGCTGTTCAACATTAGCATTTTTACTGTCAAACCACTTATAAAACACATTACTTTGTATATCTAATGCAAAACTACTTTGACCTATGCCATTTAGTCTGTATTGTATAGCTGCAGTTGATGGAATTCTTGCTCTGTGTGTATGATTGGTTGAACCTTTTACCCTGTTTTTTCGCTGCTTACTTAAAAAATCGGGGATCGTATTTGCCTTGCCGTTATACAATCCTCCGACGTGTATTTCATCACTTAATGCAACTGTACCAATGTAACCATTTGCTAGTGTCGGCAAAAAATTATTGTTTAACTTTTCTGTAAATAAACAGGTTGGTGATGGAGCGCGTGTATTACAATTGCACAAGACACTATAACAACATAAAAGTACTTTTAAAATATAGTAAACCATTTTTCTAATATTTTTTTGCATACAAACAAACAATTAAATCATAAAAATTTGTTTTATTTAAAATTTTTCTTCAAAAAAAAAACTGCTCGCATTTCAGTAGTGTAAACATCCTTTATAAAAAAGTATACATCAAAATTAGCTATTAGGTTTCAGTGTTGACACACGTGGTGAAGCCGGTTAAATAACAAAATTGAACTCATTTTTTCTCATGTTTCATTACATCAATTACTTTTTTAAAATATTTATAGAAAAAGTATATTATTACATAATTGGATAATTGTAAAAACAGATATGTTATGTTGAATATATGATTAGTTTAGAATGTATATTATTTTTCTTTCTTTTTTTTACTCATCAATAAAGGTTTTTTTCAAACATATAAACCTCGTATAAGCACACATGGCGGGTTTAATCTCTAACCACTAAATCTTATGTGCATATCTTTGTTAAAAAGTTAATAATTATAATATATACAAAATACGAAACAGTTTTTTGTGATTTAAAATAACAACTATTCGTGAAAAATCAATTCATTTCAAAATACCTTTTTTAAAGCATTAATAACAATATTAATTGATATGGATACCTGTGTCTATTTTGACATTAGATAAAAGTTTTTTAAGCAAGAATGTTTTTTAGAAGAAACAGTTACAGTAAATGAATGCAACTTTGCATTGATGGACAACAGATGATAGCTCCTTTGAGCAATCGTGGTTGAATTCGTAGAAATCTTTTTCTACAAATTCTGCCCACCTTTTTTTTTTTTCTTGTAACAAAACTAAATTCAGCGTGATTAGGATCTTTAACAACTGGTTAATCTTTTTCTGTGGAATGTTAAAAAGATTGCAACCGTTAATTCAAGAGATTTAGAAAAAAAAAATTTTTACAAATAATTTTTTTAATCTTTTGGAGAGGTAATAATGTTTTTTTAAAATATTAAGCTTCAGAACACAAAACGAAAGTCTAAGGATCAAAAAATAAAATGAATAACAACACATAGCAAACAAAGGCATAAATAAATCTTTTCTAAAGTTAATATACTTTTTATTTATATGATAGAACAATTATAAGAGTATATTGCAATTTCAGAAATAGTTAAGCGGAAAATCATTCTTTAGTAATAACTGTAAATACGGTTGTCTTTTTTATAGGAAGGCTAACTAAGTGCGAATTTCACAAGTGCAAACTGGCGTAACTGCAAACTGGCATAACTGCAAACTGTCATAAGTGCGTAGCATATATTGGACCTCCTATATGTGCACCAGATTGCATATAGTTACACGGCAAAAAAAAAAGTATAACTGACGTTTCCATTTCAGTTCAGATTCAAGTGAAAACATCTTTTTTTTATATATGTTTGTCTTTCTTTGTTATTTATAATATAACATTGATTTTTCCAAATACTCGGTATTCGGTATTTAGCAAAATCACTGTTCGTGACATCTCTACTAATAAGATCGAATCCGTATGTAACAAGTGAGACGATATACTTGTTTTTATTAATACCATTGTTAACTGTATTCTAAAAGTCTCATAAATTTTCTCAGATAAATTTTAATTCTTTAATTAACAGCTTGTTATCTTGCATTTAATGAAATTAATTCTATCTCTAATTGAATAGTTGTTCTGTATCGTGAATTTAAATGAAATGAACATATCTTTCGTTAAGCTCACTCTTTTTAGGTTTCAGGCAATAAAGTTAAAAACCTAATAGTAGCTAAATAAAATTACTCAGGAAAATTTTCTCTTTTTTTTTATATAATTTTTTTTAAGAGTGTAAAGCCTTTTTGAAACTATATACATCTACTAGTAAGGCTTATTATGGTTTTTTAAAACTATATACTTGTATGGTTGCACATTGGTATGGTTTATTATATGAATTAAAATAGTGTTGGCTTGATAAAAGCAGAGTTGATAATGCCGCCCAGCGGCAAAGTAACTTTCTGCCGAAAGGCCGACTTTTTAAGGAGGCGGAAGCTGTTGACGGCGGCCTCCTGATCAATTTTTAGCGGCAAAATGTTCTTTCTTCCGCCTCCAGTGGCTTCCGCTTTTCTAATTTATTCGAAATAGTAGGTTTATTAAATTACTAATTTATTCGATAATAGTAGATAAACAACCGTTCTGACAAAGTTATAATTTTTTTTCAAAATTTTTTTTAAATAGTCAATAAATAATATAAAATAAAACTTTGATGTCAAGTATTTAACATTTGTTTCTAGTTAATATTTAATTGCTTTAAAGCAAACGAGCAATTATTTTTCATTACATCCGCGGGCGAGAGGCAAATATTTCCGCCTCCAATTTGATTACTTCTGCAATTCTTCTTGTGATATTTTATGTCTTAATGTATTTTTTAACTAGAATAAATCATTTGAAATATTGAATAATCACAATAAGATTAGAATATCAAATATTGAAAATTATTTGAAAAAGTGAAAAACAAAATTGTTTTGATTTTTCTGCAAATGTCATTGGGAGTAACCAAAAATAAGGGGTATATTACAGTGATATTATAACTGGAATATACTACTTGAACATCTAAGTAAAGATTTTCAGAAAAAATTTATTCCAAAAAATTAAAATCATATGTATTTTGGCATTTTTTTGGTAAATGCAAAAATCGTTATTTTGTTGTTAATCCCGTCAAGCCATGTTAATACCAACACACTTGCACAAGTTAGAATCACTTCAAAATCATTAAAGTTTCAAAAATATACGCAGAATATAATAATGTACGAGCAAAAAAAAAAAAAAAGTAATTCTAATTTTGTAATTACATCTTCTGATACTTTTGTAACTAACAGGTAAATTTATCAAAGTCCCGTGTATGAAAGTCACCCCATTTTACGGTACGTAAAATGGGGTGACTTTCTTACGCGGGACTTTGATAATTGCTCTTTTTGTACTTTTTTTTGGATTTCTTGGCAGGAGTTTCTACTTTTGCTGCTGCAAAATCAACATATGTTCGTTGTAATAGCTACGCGTTTTCTTCTTCTCTTAACTTGTTTAAGCATGCCTCTTCTGTAAAAGGTTGACCAGCCACTGTTCTAACATTTTTGGCTTTTTTTGCAGGATGTTTGTAAGCGTTTTGGAATTGAAATTGCTTTAAGAAAGCTCTTTCAAGACTGATTTTTACACGGTTTTTACACCAATTCTTCTTGACAAGTTAAATTTAAAGTTAAAATTGAATTTTGAGTTACAGGTGAAATTAAGTTGATTTTGTTATGCGGTAGAATTGAGCTGCGCCTCTTAAGCCATTTCGCCATTCTCGCCATTTTCAATCTTATTCAATGCGTTTTTATTGTCTCCTCAGTGTAAGGCTTCTCGTTTCTTTGTTTTTTGCCATTTTTAAGTTTAGTAAATTCAATTTAGTTACAGATTTTTGAAATTGAAGAAACGATGTACTTTTGTGGTTACTTTGTGTACTTTTGTGGTTACTTTGTGTACTTTTGCACTTTAACTTTAACAGTATTAGTACAAAAGTACAAGACTAATTAACACGAAAGTGGAAACTTAAAAGAACTAAATAAAAAAATTCAGTCAGTGTGAAAAAATAATGAAATAAATTAATTTTAATATAATAAAAAAATTCAATTAGAATGAAAAAATAACAAAGAGAAAAAATAATAAACATAACCTTATTATTAAATTTTATTATAGGGTGGATTTATTGTGTCCGGTTTAAAGTGAAAACTGAAGAAAATCTTATTTCCATCATAACTTTTTAACGGAGTAAGATTATGAAATTCAAAAACTATTTTTGAAAATGGCAAAAAGTTTCTAACAAAACAGCTTCCTTAGTTTTTAAATTGCCTTTTTAATTCTCTAAAGAACCTAATTTCCAAAATAATTTAGATTTTTAGGGTTAGGTTTTGTTTGAACTTAAATATCTTTTTAAAGCAATCAAAAAAATATCTTTTTTTAAAAAATTTATAATTTTCCACACAGTAAAAAATAAAAACTTTTTATAATTTTTCAAATACCTTGAAGATATTTAGTTTTTTCCGCTTTTACGCACTGTCCGGTTTGTGGTACTTTTACTCTATATTACTTTTACTTACATTATTTTTGTAAAACAATAAGAGTAGATGTTTTCCGCGTTAGCTTGTCTTTTGAGCTTGTGTATAACATATATCTAGCTTTTACTTCTCTTAACTACGATGTTGAATATTCATAAAAAATACAAAGAATAAAGTCTTTTTTAGAATAATAAATTTTATTGCGTATTATTTTCGTAGTGTTTTCTCTTCCGCGGTGTTCTGTAAAGACCTAAGGTCTTATCACAGAACACCCCGGAAAAGCATTGAAAGGATGTTTACGCCTCCTTTCTTTCCAATGTTGTAAAACCTGCCCAGAGGTGGCTTTAAACAACGGATCTCTAGCTTCAGAGACAAGCGCGCTAACCGCTCCCCTACGGCTTAAACGCACTTATTTAAACATAGCGGTGGAATATATGACCCCAAAATCATTAGTTCTTTCTTTTTATTGCTACTTTTATTTTTAAATTTTCCTTACTTTTTGCCTTTCATTAATTAATAACGTCTTTAAATCAACAAAAAATTGTAAAATACTGCAAATATTTATATCAAATCTTTTTATATAAAATTTTATAGTTTTCAGTAATTTGTAGGCCAATATAATAAATATTGAAAAATACGGCAAAGAACATCAGTATGCTTAGCAAATAACAGGATAAAACAGTTTTAGGAAATTTTGAAAATAAATGATCCTAGCTGCTACTTATAGTTACAATAAAAAACTCAAAAACTACCAAAAAACTTTTTCAAAGGAGGCTTTCTAAAATTTGTATGATCTGCTTCACAATATTTTACCATAAAATTATTCATAACAGCTGCCTAATTAAAACATAAAATTTTACCCATTAATTAAAAAATAACTTATCTTTTTTTTAAAATTTCCAAAATTTTCTGGACATTTTCCAGAATATTTCCGGAAAATTTCCCGAGTGCTATATACAGCTGTGTACTATATATAGCGCTTATATAAAGTATACAGCAATATTTAAGCGCTATATACAGCTGTACACTGTATGTGTATACTTACTAGAGTACGAGAACATACGAGAA